CCCCCCCACGGGACTTACATTGATAGGTGCATTATGGGTTAGACTTTCAGATGGAGTACCAGAACAGTACTTCGCTGATGGAGTTGCCATTCTTGTCAGAGATGAAGTGTTGAAATACACGGTATCATCTATAGTATAAAGTGTAGGTAGGCTGCATTTTCATATGCAYCTGTTTCAAAAATCGTTGTCGCAACCAGGAGAAAACCGTCGGTAATTTTGATTTCAATTAATTTGTTCGTGGTTCATGCAAGTGACTGTATCCGTACACACATAAATTATCCTGCTTCAGCCATAATTGAGAGATTGGTGGAGCAATGAAAATGCACCATATTATTTAAACAGTTTTAAAAGCTTTGATGTTGTAACCCAGTAGTTACTGTGATTGTAAATGAATTTTTGTAAGCCAGTAGCTACTGGAGTTGTAAAAGCTTTGATGTCGTAACCCAGTAGTTACTGTGATTGTAAATGCATTTTTGTAAGCCAGTAACTACTGGAGTTGTAAAAGTTTTTATGTTGTAACCCAGTAGTTACTGTAATATTGTAAATGGATTTCTGTAAGCCAGTAATTACTGGAGTTGTAAAAGCCTTGGTGTTGTAACCCAGTAGTTACTGTGATTGTATATGCATTTTACATTGACTTGAGCTTTTGGTCAAGCAATTCAATGTTTTTATCTTCTGTTTCAATTTCTTGTCTTTTTTCCTTTCTTTTTCTTTCTTATTGATTCTACCAGGAAATTCAAATTACTATTTCTTTAGAAAATATTTGAACAAAATTCCCTGACTTTTGTTGAAAATCGCAATTTTCCTAACTGAATAAAGAAATCCTTGGATTTTCCCTGACCCCTGGGAACCCTGCTTAATTTTATTGCTCAATAAAGGTAAAGAAGTACAGATTCATGAAAGTCAGGATTCTTTAATTTATTTCGCGTTTTGTTATTCTTATTGGAGTATCATAGGATACAATATTCATCTAAATTTATTTTGTCTAATTAAGTCCTAAACGGAAGTGACTAGCATGAGACTTAGAGTCCCGTTTGCGCTCTTCCATTGCGTAGTTGCGGCACTGTCTTACAGCATGTGCACGTATGATTCAAAAGCAAACAATGGAAATAAGATCTACTAGAGTGATTGCACTTGACTCGCGAAAAAGGAATAAGCCTAACATAAAGTCGTACAAACTGATTTCATTTTTTTGTTGCGGTTTTATTTTTTATAATACACACAACAAAATTTTTCGATTTTGATTGGTCAAGAGAAGTACAATTAAATCCCAAATTGTACTCTAGAGTCCCAATTCAGAGGCTCAATTTTGTTGAGTGTATTCTAAACAAACAAATAAAAAATCTTCTCGTACGATTCGAAATTTATAGATACTCGTGATGTTTCGAAAGTTCTCACCTATAAATTTCGAACTGTATTCGAGATTGTGTGATTTCCTATACCAATTAAACTATAAATTATACAGCTTCTCATTAATCCCATATAGGTAACTGTCCAATTATTTTCTTAATTAGACAGGTCTTGTTGATATGGGATTAATTAGGCAGCTATATAATTCATGCTCCCCAATCAAGAAATAATTAGACTCGAAAAATTCCTCTAACTGCTAAATTGAACTCGGCCTACGGCCTCATCCAAGTTTGGAAGTCCTCAGAATTTTCCTCGTCCTTAATTGGACAGCATGGAGTCCGATTAAATATACCAATCGATAAAAAAAATTAATAATATTCAATAGTCAATTATATTAACTAACTAACGCGGTTATTACAATAGCAAAATTTCATAAGATGTACATGAGTGTCTTGAATACACCGTGGTTGATCTCCATACGTATCTACACGACTTATTGCTCCTTTGATG